CCTAACTCCAATAGTGCTCAATCATGAGCATATAACACATGGTGTTAGCGCTGTAGAGCACGAGACTCACACTAATCAATCTGACGACATGGAGAGGGAACTTAGGTAGCAAACTCACAATTGAACATGATCGATGCACATCAACAGTGTGTACCCATACTAATTTAATGGAAATAAGGTTTCTAAACATAAAAATGAAATAATAAAACATCTTCCTAGACTAAGTGAAGATATCTCCCCCATCCAATTAATATCCTCGCAATACTACATGCGCAGTACTGCTCACTCACATGTGGGTAGTCATTGAGCAGTCTTGCAGACGACTTGTATCCCTCCCCATGAAGCTTTTCCCGTTTATGTGGCTTTGCTCCTATTTGTTATATTGAATAAGTGCTATGCACCTAGGTCATTCACCAAGAATTAAAAGCACATAAAAGTATGGCACTCCAGAGGGTGACTAGCTGGTTCAGGAGCTTGACTGACATAATGCCGCTAGTTGAAAGGTTTAGGTCTTGTATCAAAGTGTCACGCTCGAAGGCCTGCTTCAAAGATTTCTTCTTTCTCCTCCTGGGCGCGTACACAGTTGGTGCCAGATACTCCCTCCGTTTCGAAATGTTTGACGCCGTTGACTTTTTAGCACATGTTTGACCGTTCGTCTTATTCAAAAAATTTAAGTAATTATTAAATCTTTTCCTATCATTTGATTCATTGTTAAATATATTTTTATGTAGGCACATAATTTTACATATTTCACAAAAGTTTTTGAATAAGACGAACGGTCAAACATGTGCTAAAAAGTCAACGGTGTCAAACATTTTGAAACGGAGGGAGTATATTTCAGTCTTCATCCTTGTAGCAACGCCGAATCCTAGAAGCGAGTTATAGACATCGTGGGTGCTCACGGCGTTCTTGCAAACGAGTCGGCGGGCCACCTTGGGTGAGGGGCGACGAAAGAACCTTGATTTGTGGCCGGAGCAGTTGCAATGGAAGCAGCGCGTCGAGTCTCGGCAAGCCGCTGCTCGGTGGTCTCGCAGGCAGTTGAAGCACCTGCCTAGAATTTCTATCTAGAAGAAGCGCATCAAGGTGGGTTCAACCTAGCGAAGTTGCGGGCGGCAGGGATAGGCCGCGCAGCCCCTCACTCGCTAGACAAGTCGCGCATGAGCCGCGTGCCGCCGAGCCACAGTGAGGGTGGGCAAGAAGCAGGTAAGGAGCTAGCGTCGGACCGAGCGAGCAAGCGGTGGGCGCCGGGGCCGTAGTGGCCACTGGCGCAGAGATGGTCGCTTGTCGCTTGCCTGCTAGTCTCCCGTTATGACTTTAAAATCCTTCGAGAAGTATGTGGTCGAACACATCTATCTATTATATACTAAAAGTACATTAATTTTTCTATAATACTGAGAAAATAAATAAATGATCTAACAATTGATTTTTACTTAATCCAATGATCCCATAATTTGAATCATTAGATTAGATCTACTTTAAAAAAGCCCGAAGTATCCTATCCACATAGGTCCCCTCCCGTGTGTCCATATGTGCGACGAATCTACAAACACCCATAAGTACCGGCCTCCCCATCCCTCTGCCTCTCGTTTCCCTTCCAAATTTCTAGGATTAACTCAAACAAAGAAACATCCCGATCCCTCTGCCTCTCGTTTTCCTTCCAAATTTCTAGGATTAACTCAAACAAAGAAACAATCAACATTTAAATTTGGTCCCATATTTTTTTAGAGAAGGGTATTTTTACCCGGCCTCTACATCCAACCGGACATATGTAGCCTTTCTAACTTAGGAACTTAGCTTATCAAATAGGGAACTTAGCCCTCAAATAACACAATCTAAAATTCGCTCCTATGGATATTTGAATTCAGGACCTTAGGGCGCTACTCAAGTCACTGCAACCACTAGGCTACATGCCCTTTCACGGTCCCATATATTCTTAAGTTGTATATTCAATTTTGAATATGTTTGGACTGTTATTTTATTTATAATTAGATCAACAATTTAAGACACATTGATATCCTACAAATACTACTAAGCTACACGTGAAACTCTAGAGAGCAAAATTTATACTTTACAGGCAATAAATGAATTTAAATATTTGAGTCCACAGTCCAAGTTCTACCTCCAGCAAAGAGCTCAGAAATGGGATGCGTACTCTGGTCCAGATTCCAAAGGAGGCAGAGCTGCAAGATGTGATCAGCAAAAGTGGATGCTGACCTACTACAAGGAGTTTGTAATTAAATTTCAAAAAAAAAGAAACATTCAAAAATAAAACAAAATTTTCATTAAAATTAGAAATAAAAATATGACAAGTCCATGTAGAATATAAAATATCAAGAGTCCATGTAAAGGTATAAGTTATAAATATCGGAAATTTGGAATAATAAAATGAGTATTAAAAGAAGAACCCAAATACAACACAACACAATTTAAAATCCCTAAAAAAGACAATTTAGAATAAAAATAATTAAACTACAAATTTGATTTCAATACAGATTTGAAATTATAATCACTCATTCGCTAAATTCAGAATAAAAAAATACTTTAAAAGAGCTTTGCTATCTTTATTAATTCACATCCATGTATATGAATCAATTAAAGAGAGGTAAAATAAAATACATTTATTTAGCAATAAAACTTTCTCAATCTTAAGAAAAAAGACAGAGACAATAAACATTCAATTAAAAACAAAAAAATACCTCACTTTAATTTAGGCTTATTTTGTTAGACCTATTTCCAAAACAAACTAATATGCATGCCTACGATTTATTTTTATTTTTTAAAACATTTTTAATATAATATTTTAATAACAGTCTATGGCAAATTTTATTTTCAAATCTAAACCTTTTGGTCACGCCAAGAAAGCTGGCATTGCAAAATAACCCTATAATGCCACAAGTATTGGTGTGACAAAACATGTCACGCTGGATCGAGAAGCCACATTGTACGGCTGCCACGCTAGTTAAACTAGCGCTGCTAAACCATGTAGCAACGCCAACATGCATAGCGTCGCTTGGCAGGCCTACGTGTAATGCAAGATGAAGGTGAAGTACTACTGTAGTATTGCTACTCCCTCCATTTCAGGTTATAATACGTTTTGACTTTGGTCAAAATCAAATTGCTTTAAGTTTGACTAAGTTTATAAAAAAAGTAGTAACATTTTCAACCCAAGATAAATTTATTATCAATTAATAATTTGATGAAACTAATTTAGTATTATAAATATTATTTTATTTGTCTATAAACTTAGTCAAACTTGAAACAGTTTGACTTTGAACAAAGTTAAAACGTCTTATAACCTGAAACAGATGTAAAACAGATGTAGTACTGTTTTGTGAAAAAGAACCTTGTGTTTGTGGGTTCTACATCATTTTCTTATGTTTAATTCGTAACTGAAGATTTTTTGGTTGATCTATCTCTCATAGCATCTATCCAGATCATGGTATGCCCACATATCTATGAAATGAGTTTAATATGTGTGTGTATATATATATGTGATGACTGATTACATAATTATTAATATTTTGTACTTTTTAATGATTGTGATGAAATCTAGCTCTTTATTCTTATGATTTGTATCACATTGAAGTTACTCAAGGCGCAGATAAATGGCTTTTTCCTTGTTAAATATATATAATTTAGATGGTTGCACTGTTACAGAAGCATTTTCATGTGTGTATGTGTTTCCCAAATTGTCGGTTCAGCATGGCATGTTTCGTCACGTCAATTAATGCTTATGGTGTGACAAGGTTATTTTATAACGTCAGTTTTCTTGGCGTGATCAAAAAGTTTAGATTTAAAAATAAAATTTGGCCCGATCTATTATTAAAATATTTTATTAAAAAGTTTTAAAAAATAATAAACATTCCCTACGATATTTTTATTTTAAAATTCTCACTAGCTAGCTATTTATCTGCATTAAAAATTCGCTGCCTTACAACTCCTAGTTAACTTGATAGTAAAACGTGGCCATGATTCACAGAACTTAGACACATCCATATGACCGTATTTAGTTTGTTATTAATTACTATTATTACTATTACTATTGAATTCTAAAAGTTATAGACTAAATTTAGCCGTGCAATTTGGATGGACCCTTGCTTGTTACATGGCCAGTTACTTGTTTGGAAGGTAGCAACAGTACACTATACACTGACTAAAATAACCCACCACGTGCAACACTACAGATGCTGACTTGATTGCGACCAAACATCACGAGTGAGTAACATGATCACCGAGCAAACCTCCTAGCTATCGTGTAATGCCGCACAGCAAAAGATAAAACGACAGTTAATATTTTCTCTTCTAAAAGTTACACATGTAACTTGCTTATTGTGTTTGAGACTTTGAGGTGAGGAACACACTCCTAACGCATCGCCGGCGCTTTGATTTCTATAAGATATAATAAATTAAGATAATAAATTTGTGTGATATACAAATATATGTACTCCCTTTCTCACTGAGTAAGACGTATACATGTTTTAAGATCCAACTCTTTGACCAATAATATTCTTTTATAATTAAATTGATTTTTATTTAATATCATTGGGTTGATATTTGAATTTACTTTCGTATAACTGTGATTGTGTTGCTACAAACATCGTAATATTTGAGAAATTCAAATATAAATATTAGTTTTGAATACCATGCCAGGTTTGATCATGCCATAATTAGTACGGTGAAGGGAGTATAGTTAAAGTTTTTTTTTATAGCTTGTATAAATTGAATTTAAACTTACATGTTTTCTAGACTAATATACTATTAATCTATCTTTTATCCTTTTTATAACTAGTTACTCTAATTCGGATTAGGCTTTGTTTAGGGGCTGGTTTGCAACAACCCCGCTTTTTTTTCTCTAAATCTTAAAATAACTTGGTCTGGTCTCTTTGCGGGCTGGGCGAAAAAAAAATATGTTACACATGTCTAGATTTTCAACACAGTTAGTTCACTATATAAGCATCAGCCTATCAGCTCGACATTTTATATTCACAGGTGGCCGGCTCTCTTCTGCACACAACGTGTAGCTCGACAATCTACTTAGCAAGATCACTTTAGAACCAGAATCACCAGCAACCATGGAGATGGAGCTACCATCATGGGCCTCAGTACTGGTCATTGTGCTCGCCGCCGTCGTCTTCCTCCTCGCCACCATTCTCCGCCATGGCCGACGCGCGTATAGGCTCCCACCAGGGCCTAACCCGTGGCCGATCATCGGCAACCTCAACCTCATTGGCGCGCTGCCACACCGCTCCATCCACGAGCTCTCCAAGCGCTACGGCCCGCTGATGCAGCTCCGGTTCGGGTCATTCCCCGTCGTCGTCGGCTCGTCGGCGGAGATGGCCAGGTTCTTCCTCAAGTCCCACGACATTGTGTTCACCGACCGGCCGAGGACCGCCGCCGGCAAGCACACCACGTACAACTACACCGACATCCTCTGGTCCCCCTACGGCGCCTACTGGCGCCAGGCGCGCAAGATGTGCGTCACCGAGCTCTTCAGCGCGAGGCGGCTCGAGTCGTTCGAGCACATCCGCGGCGAGGAGGTGCGCGCGCTGCTGCGCGACCTGCACGGCGCGGCGGCGCCCGTGCTGCTCAGGGACTACCTGTCCACGGCGACGCTCGGCGTGATATCGCGCATGGTGCTGGGCAAGAAGTACGTGGGGGTTGAGGGAGCTTCTGCCGGCAACGGCGGCGGCGGCGAGGGGACGAGCCCGGCGGCGACGCCGGAGGAGTTCAAGATGATGATGGACGAGCTGTTCCTGCTGAGCGGCGTGCTCAACATCGGCGACTTCATCCCGTGGCTAGACTGGCTCGACCTGCAGGGGTACATCAGGAGGATGAAGAGAGTAGGCAAGAAACTGGATCGGTTCATGGAGCACGTCCTGGACGAGCACGACAAGGTGCGGCGGCAGCAGGGTGATAGGTTTGCAGCGAGGGACTTGGTCGACGTGCTCTTGCAGCTCGCCGATGACCCTAACCTCGAGGTCCAACTCCGGCGTGATAATGTCAAGGCACTTACTCAGGTGATCGATCCCTGCTCATCATCCTACTGCAGCTTCTTTACTCAGGTGATCGTCCTTTCCATGGCACACGGTGTAAGCTAGCTCTTCCATATGTGGTGCAGGACCTGATCGCCGGCGGCACGGACACCTCCGCCATCACCGTGGAGTGGGCCATTTCGGAGCTCCTGAGGAAGCCGGAGATCCTCGCCAAGGCGACCGAGGAGCTGGACCGCGTCGTCGGCCGCGGCCGCTTGGTCACCGAGACGGACATGACCAGCCTCCCCTACGTGGAGGCCATCGTGAAGGAGACGATGCGCGTGCACCCGGTGGCGCCCCTGCTGGCGCCGCACGTAGCCCGCGAGGACGCCTCCGTCGGCGGCTACGACATCCCCGCCGGAACGCGGGTGCTCGTCAACGTGTGGACCATCGCCCGCGACCCGGCGCTGTGGGACTCGCCGGAGGAGTTCATGCCGGAGAGGTTCATCGGCAGCAAGATCGACGTGAAGGGACAGGACTTCCAGCTGCTGCCGTTCGGGTCCGGCCGCCGGTTGTGCCCCGGCCACAGCCTCGGGCTGAAGGTGATACAGCTGAGCCTCGCCAGCCTGCTGCACGGCTTCGAGTGGAGGCTCCCCGACGGCGTGTCGGCCGGCGAGCTGAGCATGGAGGAGGTCTTCGGCCTGTCCACGCCGAGGAAGGTTCCGCTCGAGGTCGTCGTTAAGCCCAAGCTGCCGGCCCACCTCTATACCGGGCCCTGATGTATCTATATGTCAGTACGTGGGCCATTGATACCAATACTTCCCATGATCTCTACCATGGAATAAGTTTGTTATGGAATATTATCTCCTCGGGAGATAAGATTCTTTCTTGTGAACCAATCCCAACTAGAGTGAGATAAGATTTATCTCCTCCTAAAACCGCTGTATATGGTAAACTTGTAATCAAGATCAGATTTATAATTAAGAGAGATTTCACCCTATATATGTGTTCACTACTTCTGAAATGTTCTTGAAGGCAAAAGGAAGGGCATGAGTGTTCTACACAATCTCATGCATCTACTGCTGTGAGAGGGATAGGGAACAGATCCGGTGATCCACTAATAGGCGTATTTGGTTTATAACAAAGTTCACTCTAGGTCCCTTACGTCCAATTCAAATTTCGTCCTTCGATGATATATCCCTCAACTTATAATACTGATATACTTGATGTCCCAGAGCAGTATAGAATCCAATTTTGGTTGATGTGATGGCTGAGTCAGCGTGGTCCTATATGTCAGTGCCCCAATCTTCTTCCACCTCTCTCCCCTCTCTTCCCATCTCAATCTAAGCCTCCAAGGCGACGAGCGGCGGACGGCAGGGAGAAGCTCGACGACGGCAGCCAGTGGGGAGAAGCCGCTGCCTACCGGCCACCGCCCGTCGCCACCGTTGCACTGTGGGCCACGCCCAGAGGGAGGTTGCGATGCCACTCGAGCTGTCGTGGGGTCTATCCTTGATCATGGGCACGCGGAAGACTATTCTTCCCCATCAAGCGGCACCACTTCCTTACCAACACCCACCACACAACGACCTCGTTGACATCACCGCCACCAACATTGTCACTGTCTGCACCCCAACATCACTGCCACCAATGTTGTCGCTATCTACGTCTCCTGCCTCACCATCCTCATCGTTCACCACATCTTCCCTATGTAAGGTAGCTCATCTTCACAAGAAAACTACAAATGGATATCTCAATCATCAACAAAATTAAATTACCACCCCAATTCAAGCTTGATCATGTGGACGCCTTCATGGAGGTAGAGCAACATACACTCCTGGTCATTCGAGACCTTGACAGCAACTTCACTGTCACCGCCTTTAAAGCCAGCCACTTCCCCAGCACCGTAATGTTCCTCTTCTAGGGAGACTCCTTCGGTCATGTCCTCCACACTAGCGACTGTCACTTGCCCCTCTTCCACCTCCTCACTGACTACGTCTTCCTCAACCGCACCTTCGTCGCCACCTACTCTCTCCACTTCCCCACCAAGCAAGGGGAAAGGACCGGTAGCAGCAAAGAGAAGAGGAAGGGTCCGGTCGCCACCGTTGAGCATCTATCTGCTGACCGCCACCCTTCTCCCGTCAGTCACCGCTCACTGCCATCGAGCTTCTCCGCACTGATCGCCCTGGAGGCATAGATTGACATAGGAAGAGAGGGAAGATATGTGGAAGAAGATTGGGCCGCTGACATGTGGGACCCACGTGGGTCTCATGCTAACTCAACCGTCATGTTAACCAAAACCAGAGACTATATTTTCCTGGGACGTTAATTATACCGGTATTGTAAGTTAAGGGACTACGGTTCAATGATATAATTCGAACCATACTTTAAAATTAGAGACCTAGAGGGAACTTATTCCCGCTGCCATATTGGTGGCGTTCCGGCTTTAGCACTTATTAGGCCTCTTTTTGGATCGACGTACATGTCATGTCTCTTATTTTCTTTGCTTCGCCGTGATTAACAGAAGTACAACACCGTGAAGTAAAATTAGCTACACCGGGAGCCAGCTGACGGCGACGAACTAGAGCGGCCTTATAATCCCTCTTTGGGAAACTCATAAAGCTGAAAGATATCACCGGATAACACATACCGATGACCGCGCGCCCAGCTAGCTTGCCAGGACAACCAACATAGCAACACATAAACGAAGCCAGAATTCTTCCAGCCTCCGGTCGAACACTTCCAATCTCCCATCTTGCCCGTCATGTTAGCATGCTGGTTAATTAATCGCCGTAAGCCCGTAATAATCGATACGTGTCACATCCCCCACGTGTACGATATCGGGCTGCGCACGTCGTGCTCGCCGTTGCTCCAGGTCAGCCACCCGAACGCGGCGTCCGTCGGGCCACCGGGCGTCGTCGACTTGAACGTCACGGTGTACCTCAGCTTGTCCCCGGCCTTCTTGAACGCGAGCCTCGCCGGCTTCACGGCCACGGCTATGTCGCTCGGCCCGGTGACCCTCGCGGTGTACACCGACCTGCCGTCGCCGACGTTGGTCAGCTCGCGCCGGTACTTGACGGTGGTGCTGCGCGACGACGACGACCGCCGGCCGAACACGACGGAGAACGACGGGTAGTTGAGGTCCCCGGGGCTGGACAGCTTCCGCTGGCACGTCACGTTGGGCGCCGCCGTGATGGCCTGGACCTGCGGCGGCGACGTGCCGACGGAGCACAGGAAGGCGACGTAGTCGTCGACGGAGGTGTCGTAGACGAGGCCCGGGGAGAGGGCCTTGACGGGGTCCACGTGGCCGGCGCCGATGGACCACGGCGTCGCCGTGGTGTTGCTGGCGGCGTCGACGATCGGCGAGCCGGTGTTGTCGACGGTGTATGCGGTGGTCATGAGCGCCGACTTGATTGCGCTGGGGCTCCAGTCCGGGTGTGCCGCCTTGACGAAGGCGGCGAGGCCGCTGATGTGCGGGCATGACATGGATGTTCCTGCGATATCACGATTGAGTCTTTAATCACTCTAGTTAATTTTATGGCTCAAAATATATAATTAAGCTGAGAGTGCAGCTTTCAGCAATGTAAATTACGAATCTACTACCAAGGTTCAGTGCAAAAAAAGAGAGACATAGCCAGACACATGTCAGAATATCGTGCAACTAAAGTCATGCCGACTGTCGAGCATATCATGCCATTTGGGTGCATGCGAACTGCACTACAGCACTTGAAAGCTAAACAGCACCATCATGACCAAATATGATCATAACGGCATCAAACAGCTACTGTTAGCTGGTACTGATCTATTCTCGAGCACGCCGGACCGTAAAGTCCGTGCTCGAACTTTCGGTGCAACACACTAATTACTAATTAGAGTAAGCAACATACTTTCAGTCGGTATACTACAGTCTACGTACAGGGCTACTTGCATGGAGGGGGCAAAGCGTGCACTGACCTGACAAGATGTTGAACGGCGACCGCCGCTCGTCGACGGTGAGCCCGGTCGGCCCGACGGACCCCGTCCAGCCGGCGAGGATGTTCACCCCCGGCCCGATCACGTCCGGCTTGAGCAGCTGCGCCACCTGCCTGTTCGGCCCACGCGAGCTGAACGCGGCCACCACCGGCGCCGGCCGCACGTCGAGCGCCGTGCCGGCGAAGGTTAGCCCCACCTCGGCGTCGGCGTCCGACTCCACGTACCTCCTTATGGCGTCGCCGCTCTTGGCGCCGACGGCCACCGCGGGGAGAAGGTGGCTGTCGGCCACGACCTCCTCGCCGCTCTGCGCGGTGTTCGCGAGCACCATACCGACGCCGCCGGCCTGCTTCACCACCAGCCCCTTCTCCACCCTCGAGTTGCCGCCGCGGTCGCACAGGACCACCTTGCCCTTCACCGCCGCCGCGTCCAGCGTGCCCTCCATGCAGAGCTTGCTCGCATTGCTGCCGGCGCGGATGCCTTTGTTGTACACGACCGGGAGCTTCTCGTCGCCGAGCCCGTCGCCGGAGTAGAGCGACATGCCGGCGTGGGTCTCGCCGTTCCCGAGCTCGGCGTACGCCGGGAAGTTCCTGTCGAGCGTGCCTGCACCGACGGTGATCACCCACGGAGCAGTGTTCACCAGCGACGACGGAGAAGGACCACTGTTCCCCGCGGAGCACGCCACGACGATGCCGCGGCGAGTGGCCGCGAGCGCGCCGACCGCGATGGGGTCACGCGAGAGCGGGAACGCGCCGCCGCCAAGAGACAGCGAGAGAACGTCGACGCCGTCATCGATGGCCTTCTCCATGCCGGCTAGTATGTCGGAGCTGAAGCACCCCTGCCTCCAGCACACCTTGTACGCCGCGACGCGCGCACCGGGCGCCATGCCGCGGGCCGTGCCTTCCGCGTAGCCGAGGAGTCCCGCGTCGGCCACGACGGCGCCGGCCGCCGTCGACGCCGTGTGCGTGCCGTGACCGTCGTGGTCCCTCGGCGAGGAGAACTCGAGGCTGACGTGGGAACCGTTCCCGCCGCCGCCGGCCCCATATCCCCGGAAGAAGGCGCGGGCGCCGATGAGCTTGCGGTTGCACATCGACGACGGGAAGTCGGTGGCATTGGTCTCGCAGCTCCCGCGCCACCGCGAAGGCACCGGGCCCATGCCGACGTCGCCGAAGCTGGGGCTCTCGGGCCAGACGCCGGTGTCGAGCACGCCAATGATGACGTCGGTGCTCGCACCGTCGGCGTCAGGGGCGTCGTACGGCGGGAGGTGGAGGAACAGAGGCGAGCGCGTGGTGTGGAGCGGGAGGATGACGTCTTCATGGACGGACGCGACGGCGGGGTGGCCGCGGAGCGCCGCGACGTGCGACGGCAGGAGGCGCGCGGCGAAGGCTGACGGCGCGGCGGAGGTGTAGGAGTAGAGGAGATGACGCGAGGGGTCGACGGAGAGGGAGGCCAGGTGGGCGTGGTGCCAGTGTAGGTGAGTGGCGTACGGGGCCGGCTTGAGTGCCGGGTTCAGGTAGACAATGTAGGTCGCCGCCCCATCGCCGGCGCCGGAGACGAGCCGCACGCACGACGAGACAACGACGAGGACGGCTAGAGCGAGGAGGAAGGGTGGCTGCTGCATGCTGGGCAGTGTTAGCGAATGGAGGGAGTTGTCTGTGCGAGCCGCGTTCGATTCAAATATAGGAGTGGCATGGCATCAACCTGGGTAGTACAGCAGCGCGCGTACAGTCGTCTCGATGTCCTGCTGGTAATGTGGTGATGTGCCGTCTCGATCGATCACCACCGAAAACGCGATGTTCGTACGTGTAGCGTCCCTAGCGAACAGACATGCAATCGTTGGAGTCAACATCGACTTTTTTTTCTCCCTGGTGACCAGCTGCTTCGGCATACTGTTAAAGAAAAAAAAAGCGCATTAAGCACTGGGATCGTGTTCATCATGCACGTCCTCCTCCAGGCCAGCCTTAACGCAATTATTTGGCTGGCCCTTCCTTTACAAGCGGCACGGTCCGCGGCCGCGCACGTCGCGGCGCCCATA